AGCCTCCCTGGGGAGCGCATAGCGCGCTGGCCTCAGTCCGTTCCCCTTCCGCTGTTTACTTGCTGGGGGACCTCCCCTGTCCACCATCTCACCTGTGTCACCGACAAGAGCACCCCTCTTCTGTCTTCGCTGGATGGTCAGCTGGGCTCCAGATCACACACAGATGTGTGAAGAGTCCCATGTAAGCGGAAGGGAAGAGGCAGCGCTTGTGTTGTAGAGATGAGAGGGGTGGCTAGGGCACGAGAAATCTGGGTGAGGTGTCTCCCTTGGTGCTTTCCTCTGAATCTCAGCTCACTCACTGGGGAAACCGGTCCTTGAGCCAAGCTCATGGCGGGCTGTTCCACAGCTGCACCATCCAGGGGCGTTTAGAAGGTGTTTCCCAGAATGTCTTAAGGTCCCAGGGAGTAAGAAGGTCGCCTCCCTGGGGATGCTGCTTTGTGGGCGGGTCAGGCGAGCAGAGCCCACCGTGCCTGGGAGGCTTGGAGCCCGGCTTCTGGAGCCCACAGATTCTCCTCGGGGCTCCCCCAACCCCCAGCCCCTCCTTGGGAGCCTTCCTGCCCCTGAACTACACACCTGAACGGCCAGCTCTGCGCTGCCGCCTCACAGCTGTCTTCCTGTCGGGTCAGGTATGTGAGGACTGCAGGCACCACAAGGTGGAGTCAACGACTCAGTCTCCCTTGGGGAGAGGATGACTTCGGAGCTCTGCGCCTGATCCAGGCCACCTCCCTGCCAAGTGTGATGATCTCACTCACGCACACTCCAGAAAGTGAGGTGCTAGGGAGCCGTGACCCCCCACTCACCCATCAACCCAGACCAAGCTGCAAAGCTCTGGTTTAAGGTTTACAAAACAAGCAGCCTGTTGTCTTCGCAAGCACCCAGCGGACGGGGAGTGTGCTGTGTACTTCCTCGGTGTTCTTCTCATGCTGCGGGCTCGCTCACTCAGTCATCCACACTTTTACTGAAACCTATGCTACTCCCAGCACAGGGCTGGGGACAGAGCTCCCACAGACAAAGGAGACATTGTCCTTGCCCTGAGGGTATCTGTGGTCCAGTGAGAGGGGAGCACACAGAAGGCACGGGCGTCCAACAAACTCCTGACCGGTGTGCAAATCTGAGACTGCAGCCCACACTGCATCCCCTCCCTGTTAATGTGGAATATTGACCCATTCATTAAAAGAAAAATTCGGAGGCTACAGACTGTCGCCATGGAGAAATCCAGGCTAATGGACCTAAATGAGGAACTAATCCTTGAACTTGATCCCTTGAGGCCAGGTTTCTGCTAATTCATGAGACAAGTTACTGAAGTTTTAAAACTTGTAAGTAGGAAGGCTGAATACTGGTTGTGCCTGAAAGTCACACATTGGGTTCTTCTTTTTTTTTTTTCTTGGTAAAATACTTTTTTCCCTCCTGCTCAACAATTGAAGCCAGGGATGGCACAGATGACCACAC